CGGGTCGGGTCAATTTGATTGTTCAACCCGAAACTGACCCGACTCATTTACACCTATACCGTCGGTTTTGATTTTTACCTTCAGGGCTTTTCTGAAAAATAAATAAAAGGCCGGCTCCATCAAAAGAAATCGTTTGTTTATCCTGAAGCTGCAACGTCTGGATCCCAGTATTTCCTGGTGAGTTCTCGGTTGCTTCCGTAAAACTTCTTCAATTTGCAATTATAATGCTTTAATTTCCTCAAATTACACTAATCCTTGTTGCGTTGCATGGAACTCATTGTTACTCGGCAGATTAACGTTTAAACGTGTCTGAATGATTGAATTTCACACATTGTAGATGTATTTTGGTGGGTGAGAATATCTATCGAATATGTTGAATGCTATGAACGGAGGTCCAATGAGGGTCCATTTAACCCGAGGGCATCGTGAACCTATTTTGTAAGGAATTTTCGATTAAAGCAAAAACAGTTTGAGGCTGGATTCCCAAGCTGAGTTTGATTGCTTTTAACCGAGTTTTGGGATAATTGGTTCCATATACAGACTGGTCCGTTCATTTGGCAAGAATTTCGGGTTATCTAATTCAAACTCTGAGTAGTTTTGATTAATAAGTTCTTTAATTTATTTCTATTTTCAATCATTATAATCAGGTGTAGAAATGAAACATGAACTTCTTGAGTCCTTTCGAGCTACAATTTCACATATCATAGACTGATTAAATCCAAACTATTAATTATTTAAGTGATACCAAAATTTCCTGTAATTCCAAGGAACTGGTGAATTCTATGCTCAATTTGGCAGTCATCGGGTAAATTCTTCGGGAGGATGTTATCTTTTAAGCAAGGATATTATTCTGTGTGCCAAGCCATTGGCTTCTGATCTTCCTTTTTAATATTTTTACACATTTGTTCTGATAAAGGTGTGTTTTTTCATTTTTATTTGAAACTTGAAACCAATGGCAATTGCAGCGTGCATAACAGCAATAATGTCATATGAGAGAAAGAAAATGTTATTCCCCGGGCTTACTTTTTCTTTTTTAGCAAGTGACAAAAAGTTTTCAATACGTTTTTAGCTGTTACGGCATTCTGCTATTTGCCACCACTCTATTCAACTAAGCTTTGGATGCTGGTTACATCACCATATTTTGACTTGACTCTTATCGTAATGATAAATGGGTCTTAACACCCTGGCCTTCTCATGAATTTTCGAAATTTCTGTCGCTCTATCCCTGCAAGGACAGAGAATCAGTTGTCACTATTTTTCCCTTGGTCGCAACTTGATGAAATGTCAAGTATCATTAGTTATTTTTACTAAAATGGAGATTCTAGAACTTCGAATTAATGTGGTTTCAAGTGAATAGATATACTTAACTCAACGTAGACGTCTGTAGTTGCATTAATATATAAGAAATGTAAGAGATGTTGCTAGACGCCTGCTATTGCTTCACATCCTTTACTCGTTTCCTTGGTGTAGAATCTTAGCAGTCACACAAAGAAATGATACAGCCTCTTGCATGCTCTTGAAGTACTATTTATATTTTACCACTAGCTTTTCAGCTGTTCACTGTTTTACTGGACTTCTCAATCAAAACGTAACAACATATAAGCCATAGATTGATTATTCATGGTTTACATAACTACATTTGTTTATAGTGAGCTATGACTAACTGTTGGTCCAACTTGCCTTTAGTAAATTAAAGATGCAGGTACAGTAGGCTAAACTCAAAATGCATCCAGTCCTGTTTAGTAGATTTGATAGATGACCTCTTTTACACAGAAGTGCATGTTTTGTATACAATACTGGTATAATGAACAAGATTTTAACTTCATTTTTGTCAGTAATCCTCTGAGTGCTATCAAATCCTAACCACCGAACATGTTATTAAAGCATGAGCCTCTTAATGCTGACACTATTCTGTTTGAATTTTGAGGATATGCCATTCTTTACGGGACCCAAAATGAATAAAAATGTGATGATGTTTATTAGTTTTAAACAGAATGCTGATGT